AAATTCTCAAAATATCCCTCTTTTATTTTCATTCTCTTACTTAACTGACAGTTAGTCGAAAAGTGTATTACGGTTAACCGTACGATCCTAAACTATTCAATTATGCAAAACTTTCAACTTCAGTACTATTTATATCTTTTTTGTTGTTGAACAAAACTTTGAAGAGACGTTTGACTTGACAACAACAATTTGCAACAGAAAATTCGATTGATAGTTTTCGGAACTCGTAACGGTCAAGAAAGGGAAAAAGAGACAAAGGGGTTGTGCACTAGAGCAGAGTGTTGAAATAAGAAAGCGAAAAAACGAAAAAAATATGAAATTATCTTCCTTGAGTTTATATACAGATTTAGATGGTTAATGATTTCAGTTTATATCCTACCCAATCTTACTATCCGTGCTCCCATTGTGCCAAGAGAAAAATATCGCAAGATTAAAATTCAACGAAGCCAGCCATCACTCTTATGCACACAGAATACAATCAACGGAACATACAAGCTTTTGGTTAAAATGAAAATACAAAAGTCAAGGGAACACAGGACATTTTAGACTGTTAAGTATGTAACGACATGTACTGTACCTTACAAATAATTTTTGTGACAACTTTTACGAAATTTAGACATAAATGAAATCACAAGCAATCGTTCCCTCTATCTCTGTTTTAGCGCGTACGAATTCTAAGCAAGACGATTGATGTAAAAACAGTTTGAGTTCCCTTAATATTTTATCAATCTTTAATTAAACGGGAGCCCAAATATACAATTACATGAAGGATATTGTGTTTGTAATTGGATACAAGTAAATTAACTTACAAGAGCAAGCAAGAGAGTAAGTTGAGTATATCGTATGCCTTCGGCTACGATAAATGGGTAAAAATCGAACAATTTCTTCCAAAACGAACACAATATACTACCGCGATTAAGAACGGTTGCTGTTTCGACTATTTCAATGTGGAATTTCTTTGAGTAGTTACAGTTTATACACTTACAATTATTATAAATGGTATTAGTTACTAGTCGTCTAAAAGAAGCAAGGAGTATAGTAGGGAGTGGGGTTTTTAAGTGTCTCTCTCTCTCTCTCTCTCCCTCTCCCTCTATCGAGGGTCTCCGGTGTAATCATAGAAGCATAACGAATCCAGGTAAAAGATTTTGGTGCATCTAAACTTGTTCTCCAGCGAATAGATGCAGCGAGTAACAATTACAACATTGAATTTTTCGATTCTTTCGATAATGCAGTAGAGGGTACGACGAACGCCCTTTTATTTTAACCTTCTTTTCTTTTTTCTCATAAATAAAAGTTTCATCATTTTAAACAATTAACAAGCAAAATAAAATCAATTTCTTAGAAAGAATGATGTGATGATGAGCTGACTTGCTCCGATCAGATGTAGGGGCCTAGTGCCGAACTTAATATAACAATTTCTTGTTTTTTTTTTTTTTTTTTAAACATTCTTCCTATGTCGAAACGACGTTTGTCAGCAATAATACGAAAACTTGGGGAAATAGTGTCACACACAAGCAATTTGCATTGACGCGTTTTCTTTTTATTGAACATCAAAAGGGCGGTTAAAGAGAAAAGTGTGAGAAACGTTTGTCGCAATTGAGGAGACAGTGCTGTTTGGTTATATATTTCTTCTTCTTCTCCTTCTGCGTATTTTATATCCAGCCATGTATCGCATTGCACTAACTTTTGGAATCTCTTGTGTATTCGATATGAAATGTTTCTTATTTTTCCTCTTGTCATTTATTTGCTATTTTAATGGTTGTTGTTGTTGTTGTTGTTGTTGTTGTTTTCTTTCGTCTCATATCAATTCAGTTGAATACACATTTCGTTGTACATTTTCCGTTTTTCATTTTACTTTATGGTTTCGTCTGTGGGTGTTTCTGCCGTTATGTGTACCTTTATGTAGGTAACATGTTGCGGGAGTCTCGATTTTAAAATTCGTTTTTAAACTTCTGTTTTTAAAGTAGTTGATTAAATTTGAGTGTCTGTCCTTGTGATGTGAAATGCATACTGAAGAGAAAATTTTGTGAATAATGAAACTCTATCAAATCAATTTTGATGGCTCTTACGTGAACTTAAAAGAAGTTATAAAAGTCAATTGCTCAGCAACGTTTTTCATCGTATTCTCATCGTTTCGATTATTTTTTATTAAAAAATGCTACGTGTATATACACATACATATTTATCATTTCAAGGTTAATAATTGCATGTATATATATATATTTATATATAATATAATATATATTGTATACATGGACGTTAGATGCATTTAAGTTTCTGTCCCATCCTATTTCCTAATAACGGTCGTGGCAATCACAAAAACGTAGCAAATGAACATGCGGCTATCGGTTTGTTTGTTCAAACAAATGAACAAAGGAATATGTAAAATAAAACTTTATTCTTGTTACCGGCAACGAAATGAATAAATTATTATGTTCTCTTGAAAGAGACAAATAATTGCTGAACTTTTGCAATTAAAGCCGACGATATCGAAAGCAGGCTTGCCAATGTTTTCCGCCACACTTAAGCTTAGTGGATCTAATAATTAAACAACAAATAGAAATTACATTGAGAAGACTCAACAAAAAAAATCCGACTTTGCAATCTTGGTTCACTAAAAATAATTCACTACAATTTCCGATCTTTTCTACCGGAACGCTTCCTATAAAGTACACTCATTCAAAAGAAATTCTTGTCGTCTGAAATTTTCCGATCAATTTTACACCACCCTTTCAGCATTTTCAGCTCTTAACAGGCAACGAGATAAATTTTTCAAAAAAATAAACAAAAATTTCATTTGATTAATGGATGCTTTACACCTTCTAGAATGTGTGTGAAAAAATTTACAACCCATATGCAATTTTTCCCTTGCATTTGCATGCTTTTGCATGACATGTGTTTGGTGGGAGTAAAAAGCCGTGGTCTGTTATTAACTGTTAAAATCTAGTAAACCGCGCCGTACTATATGCTATTAGCAACAGTTAATCGTTTTGCTGTTCAAAAAAAAAAAACGATCGGAATACCAAGAAAAGCAAAACAAGATAATTCTTTAGATGATGTCCGTCAGACAGGTGGCAAAAATATTTAGCTAGAGGTTGGTTTATGATTTTCATATTTCTAATGGAAAGTGTTAGCAGTTTGCTTATTTGTCGCAAACTCACATAAAAGTAGTGGAGATATTAATTCTTCCGTTACGGACACTTCTTTTCAATATCTATTTAAAGCTCTTGTGTACGCAATACCATGCTATAATAAGTAAAATTCTCTGCGGACCACTCATAAGATGATTATAAATTTGTAGCTTTGTTTGAGGTCTCCAAACTTACAAGCACGTCTCACAAAATCAATTCGATGTGTGCTTGTGATTGCCTTTTATTTCGTGATGTCATCGTGACATTGCTCAGACTGCATTCATTATATTGCATCAAGGATTGAATTGCATAGTAGCACGTTCTATACACGTTTGTTTTATTATCTAACTAAAGAATTCCGCACAGCAGTTTCGATAAATGGAAAAGTGAAAAAGGAATAAAATGTGAATTGTTTTCTCTAAGCTAAGCCTCTTCAGAAGGCTCTTATGACCAAAAATGTTGATAACAATACCAAGCTTAAAGTTGTGATTAAAGACGGATTGCGAAGCAGAAAACAAAAACGAATGACCTTATTATAGAAGAAATAAGCGAGTGTCTAAAGCTTTGGCAAAGCAACTTTTTCAAAATATATTAAAATAAAATTTAAAATGGACCATTGCCGAACACATTCTAGAAAAAGTATTTCACTTTTGACAAAATATCCAAAGTATTCATCCAAAAATAAATCTATCGAAGTTTTTTGTAATTTTTCAAAACATTCTCAAGCATTGCGCCTGTAGTTAGATGTTCTTTGAACGACATTAGAATGTAAAATTTGGAAACAAAGTACGATGACGATCCATGATTATGCTCAACTATATATAACTTGCAACTTGTCACAACTGATACCAAAAAGTCCAGCAAAGTCAAAAGCGAAATGCCAACAAGTAGGTTCTTCAATTTTGAAGTAGTTATAAAACAAGTATAAACAGTATAGTGGACCACAATCCGCCATCAAATACTCTACACCATCCTGCCGTTATTCTCGGAATGACTTCTCAAAATAAGATGTGACGTGCGAAGTGGACGAAAAAGTTTTCCAACCAAACCATTTTCAATCGCGTTTGTCCTTGGGCGAAAGCACGTCAGAGAGTGTGCCCCAAATTCCATTCATATATCTCCAAAATTGCAGATTGTAGGTTGAACATATTAAAACAAGGCGTACAGACGGGCAGAGAGATAAATGTCAATCAATAATTCTTAGTTTTATTGATGCAGCCCCGCGATCTGTTGGCAAGAAAACCTAAGTTTTCCATTCATCAAAAATATAAATCAACGCCGTTCTGTTAAATATATCTCCGTAGACTCCGTAATCAGGAAAATCCCTTGGTAATATCTATTCTGCATGGATACAATGAAATCAGGAGATTGAAAAAACATCGTGCGCTGGATCTTGTTATTAGGAATTAATGATTTTTGCTTCTTAAATTGTTTTAATGGATTTTCTAAGTTTATTGAGTTTGTTTTAATTTATTTAAACATCATGTCTGTGTTCTTATATTAGTCCCACTGAGGAACAATAACCTCTGTTATTACTCTCAATGTGCCATAATCTTTTCCTATTTCCTGTTTACATAGATTCCAAATTAAAAAAAAAAAATTATTATATTGAATTTTAATTAAGTGTGATGGGTCTAAGCAGGTTTTCTCCTATAGCGTGCATGTAATTGTTATTGATCAATTATTGTTAGCGAACTTAGCATATCAGAACGATCGCAATTTCAAATAAAATTTCAATATTGCATTTAAAGCCGTTAGCGTATCAAACAAATTCTCAAGCATAGAAATCATTTTCACATATTTGTGTTCCTCTTCTTTTTTTCATTGTGTGACAGATAGTGTAATTTATTCTATTTTATGTTATTGTAGTTGGCAAACGAAACGGCCAAATAACGAAGAATCTATTCAGCATTTGTTGGCAACTGGACGAGCGAAAATTAAAGATGGAACACTTATTATAACCGCAATGGACAAATCAGACAATGGTGCCTTCTATTGCACGGCCACGAACTCGGAGGGTAGCGAGACACTTGACGTGCAAGTGTCAGTTACCTCGCCGCTGACTGCTGCCATACAGCCCACTGTGCAAACAGTAAATTTGGGGAAAACGGCAGATTTGGTATGTTTGTAAAATAAAAAATTGAAGAAGAGTGTATAAAAAAAATAAAAAATAAAAACTAATTGAATAAAAATAGAAAAAAGCATACAGAATACAAAGAAAAAAAACAAACCATCCTTGGAATTGCACATACAAATGCAATACTATAAAACTATTTTAAAAAGTTAGCATTAAAGTCAAGCAGTCCAAGCGTAGGAAAAACGAGAAAGTGCAAAAAAATCTAAAGTTGAATAAGTTTTCTTACTTTGTCTGCATGGTTTCTTTGCATAGTTCAAGTTTTCATAACGTGCGTTTGTGCGGCTTCGTTGATTTTTAGTTTGTTCGGCATTGTTCAGTATGTATGTGTGCGTATAACTAACGTCAAATTGAATTTCAGATTTGTTCAATTTCGGGTTTTCCCAAGCAAAGCATTTCCTGGCTAAAAGATGGTCAGCCTCTGCGTTCCGGTGCCCGGGTACGTCTTCTATCAAAGGAGCACATACGCATCACTTCCATTACCAAAGAAGACAAAGGCATGTATCAGTGCATGGTTAAGAATGATATTGAATCTGTGCAAGCAACTGCTGAATTACGTTTGGGCGGTAAGTGGGGGTTTTTATGTAAATTTTTCGTGTATGTCCATACATGCGGGCAGATTTATTCTCTGTTTTTTGTTGCCGTTTTTTCTCATCTTCTGTGTTTTCATAGAAGTTGCACCGCAACTTATCTACAAATTCATTGAGCAAACTATGCAGCCTGGTCCCTCGGTATCGTTGAAATGCAGTGCCACCGGTAATCCCACACCGAAAATAATATGGCATTTAGATGGCTTCCCTTTACCTAATGTGAGTATGCGTTCTGGCCCTTACCAGTTATGTATGTAATAGATAAGAACACGAACCAAACCCAACAATGGTTGTCCATAAGCTGTAAAATAATTCTAACTTCCCACAGTCACATTGCATATTATAGCATACCATCAATTTTAGTTTAAAGAAATATTCAAACTTCATGACAGCATTAGCTTGTGCTTGCGATGGCCATGACCGTTACATACTTTCTCTTTTCTCTTCAAATATGTGCAGAAGCAGATATCGACTCGAGCACTTGTGACTTTTTATAACCGTATTTAAATATATATAGCTTCGTCTATGTGTTTACTGTTTAGAGTGTTGTTTATGTTTATGATTCTCTCTGGTAGGGGGCCTTTTTTGTTTTCGAGCTTTTTCTCTCTGTGTTTGTGAAATAAAAGATGTATTTAATGGCCACTGGAACTGGATGTTGGCATCGTTAACCATGCATATTTCGTATGCATGAAAGGAGTTCAACCATTAAGCATGTTAAAGTTTTATCGGTTTCTGCTTACATCTCCTTAGTAATTAAAAAATAACTTTTTTTAGAAAAGCCTACCGTTACTCCTCATTTTCTAGCTATACAAGGTGTTAATATAATTTTATATGATTTCAAAGAAAACAACCAAGAAAGTTATATTCGGCTAGGGCCGAAACTCGCATTCTCACTACTACTACTACGCTTTTCGCAATCGACTCTCCAACTTCTTTTATTTGATACCCATATCGTTGGTGTGATTAAGAAAAAAATAATCGCATATTCATTTAAAATTAATTCGTTCCTACACAGATAATATAGCTTGATTTGAGGAGTGTGCGAAGCAGTTTTAAACAGTCCGTCTTGTTTACCTTATGATAAGCAAGCATAAAATCTCACAGAAGTGAAAAAAATAAGATTTAATTACTCGTAACCTTGTGTAGGCATGGTCGATTGGTTTCATTTTTGGACCGAAAAAGCAGAGTGTTTCGTAACATGCAAATGTGGAGAATTTCAGCCTTCTAACTTAAATAATTTCCGAATAACGAGCAAAATTCCAAAAAATTTTGTTAAAAAAAACTGAGTTGCGTTCAGCTTACGTTCTACTGCGCGCTTCCCCTCTGACCGATTGGGCCCATTTTCAATACCAACCTGCGTGCGGAAACATGCAAAGTTCCCACCAACCTTGAAGTCGATATCTTCATTTTCACGACCAGGAGAGTGCCAACACTACGCAACACACCCACAAACAAACGAACGGACATGGCTAAATCAACTCAGAATTTCACGCTGATCAAGAATATGTATACGTTATTGGATCTCTGTAGTCTTCTTATGGAAGTGAACAAAATGAGTATACCCCCATGTTACAGTAGTGGGTGTAAAAAAAGAGAAAAATGTACAAAATTTATATCGAAAATGTGTCAAGTTTTACTATGCAGTTGAGGAAACGCTCAATATAGTTCAGTATAACATTGAGGACCTTCAACACTGATTGCATACTTGAATGACACGTTGCTCAGCTTATCACAATATAAAAGTTTAAGATTTTCGCCAAGTTGTGCACGCATTCGTTTATAATAAAATAAATGTTTAGCTTCTGCTGTTACTAACATTTTACATGGAAATCATTTAAAATGACCATTGATGTGTGGTTCACCTTTCCTAAGGACTTAAGAGTTAATTGCAAATACACTCAATATTGGCAATTGTTTTCCGAAAAATGGTTCGTTTGCTTTGTTTTTTTCTCTTTTCGTATCCTATATCACTTGTGTTACAAACGTATATTAAATTTGTACGGATGTATACAATATCCAGAAAGACTTGACGTAGACGCAGCTTTTATTGGCTCCATCGATTCAGAACCATATTCTGAACTAATCTAAGCATGTCTGTCAGTCCGTTTGTTCCTCCGTCCGTTTTGTATTCTTATGTTTAGCCCGTCAATCGCAAATTTTTCAGATATTTTGATGGAATTTGGTATGCCAACTTGATTTGGCCCGAGGACGTACGCTATGGACACTGATGCGGATCGGCGCACGTTTTCGACCACGAATACCTGTTGTATGCGAAAAGGTGTAGGGTATTTAATGGTCGGCCATGGTCCACGGTAATGTTTTTACTTGTTCAAGCTCATATGTTGATCTAACGTTTTGTATACTATCGGCGAGTGAAGCCACATAGACTGAAGATTTGTAGTTACAACACATAGGATTGTTGATCATTTACTTACAATTGCTATTGACCAGAAAACTAAAAATTCATAGCAAGTGTACCCCAATTACTTGCTTAACAGCTCAACGATTTGTTTCGCAATTTCCCATCTTAGTTAGAAATATTGACTAGATACGTTCGAATTTCTTGCTGATATTCCGCTCAAACGTACTATAGACCAATTTAGATATTAATATATATGTGTTTACATATAACCACGTACTTCATTAGCAGTAGAACGATTATATGCATCTGATTTCTACTTTAAAAAAATTTTTTTAACACTTTTTATATTAGGACAAGGCCCTTAAGCTATAGTATTCAGTATTCGCGTGTATATTTGCCGGATAATTGTCGGAGCCAATTCAAAAATCGAGCGGGTTACCTTAATAGAAATTCTTTATTTGACTTGAACAGGTACCTGCGTTTTTCGCAGCATGGACGAACGGGATAAGATTTCAGTACCATGATTTTTGAGGTACTCACGAACCGTTTTAACGACTTTTCAATTGTCGTACATCTCAATAGCCCAGCATACTGATCATGGCTTATGTGTAATGATTTACTTTTTTTTCTTAAGCAAAACTAATGTCATTGCATTTACAATTCTTTTTCACAAAGGAATACAACTCGATTATAATTTTGATGATTTGCGTATTTTTTCACGCGAAATCTTTTTAAAAATGCGATGCTATCAAGTACGTTTTAGAAGCTTTTTAGCCCTTGCAATTGAAATTTATTGAAATTTTTTTTTTTGTATAATGTAGTACACGTCAGTATGATTTCATTAAAAATGCAACGAGAAATTTAAAATAAAAGTGTTTGCTTATATGTGTAAACGTTTGTCAACGTTCGTGCTTTTCAAATATTCTGAAAAATTTCATCAGTTGGTAAGATTGCATGATTTTTATACCTGAATGGCGGACGTTGGTGGACTCTTGTAATGAAAATTTTTTCTTTTCTCATCACACACCATACGAATATTAATTTACATGTGTTTTATTTCACTTTTCCGGTTTATTTAGCTCTTTTTTCATATAGTGTTTTTTATTGCGCACAATCCAATTCAAGTATCCTTCAAAATATATCTGAAATATCTGTGAACGATGTGTGTGCATACGAACTTAGTCTTAGTGGCTAGTGCTCATGCTATTTTTAGTTCTAAAACTCGTTTACTTGGCATAAATAAATAATAGTAACAATAATAATATCGAATGTGATTGAAAATTTTCCTATTCTCTCCAGAAAATGAAAACACATTGAAAAATGAAGAATTTTGAAATTTTTTGATCAACTAAGTAGGCAGGTTGGTAGAAACTCTTAGCTGCTTTGCCAAACGAACAATTCCTAGAATATTACTGTAGTGACGTTAAGGTTGCGATATTCTGGGCAAATTGTTTTTTCTCCCCCAATACTATCTTGAAGATTAAGTTAGATTTTTAACTGACGTTAACCTAATAGCTTTCTCTATAGTCAATTTTAGAGAAAGCCATATAAAAAGTCCCGATTTTCTCTGCTAAAAGATCTTGGCTTCGTTTTCTAAAAAGAAATAACTGAATCTGTAATCCATATTTAACAAATCACTCAATGACTCCCCTTGCTGGCACATATATGGCGGCACTGTTCACAAACCCATATAACATCCGATTAGTACCAGCCTTCAAACAAAATCTGCCCAAATTTCAGGACATTGTGACCTCTGCTTTACAGTTGTTACAGTTGTTTTAGTGACGCTACTTTTGCAATTTTCAGAGAATGGGAAAATCTGAATTGCGTTGTTGAAAAAATACTGCACAAAATCGTTTAGAAACACCGAACGCGACATAGCTAAAACCTTAAATATGTAAGGAGACAGCGTATTTACTATTTTGCGTGACCATTTGCGTGACCATGAAAAAGGTCTTTTCAGTCAAAGCGAATGCCGCGTGTCTTCATCTTTGACAAGAACGTGTGAACGATTCAAAGCACTGTTTGGCCCTGTTTTGGGCGCAACAAAAGAGATATCTTCATGCGATATGTGGCAATGGATTAAGCATGGATTCGTGATTACACTCTTATGTCAATACGGCGGGCAGTCGGGTGGACGGTAACCGGACAAAACCGTGCAAGGCGATGAAGAAAGTAGCCTTACGAAAATAACGGCAAATTGCATACTAATGGTCAGCCTGTCATGAAATTTTCACACATTTGCTTTAAAGGAACGTTATTGAGTGACGTAATAGTTGAGTAGGTGCCACGTTTTTCTAAGCTTTCTCAATTGATTGTCTAGACGTAATGAGTTTAAAAAGAGAAGGGAGCCAAAGATTGTGTAGATTAGTTTATCGATGTGAACGCAGAAGAATTCGGTTGCCTTTTATTTTTCCGTAGAAGTAATCCTTAATGCGCAATTTTTTCAAATCAGTGTTTTCCTATTTATAACTTTCTCTTGGATATGGATTTGCTCGGCTATATGTAGTATGAAGGTAGAAATGGGTCACACTGTTGTCTAAAGTAAATTCATTTGATACATGGATGCTGTCGTTTCATTTTTGCCAAACAATGTTATCGTTTTGCCATATTTTGCATGAAACTACATGTATCCATCTGTGTGTACGACGAGGTTTTTATAATAGTTGCAGATGACTTTGAGCGCGCGCCAGTTTGTCTCCCTCTGCGGATATATCATCCATAAGAGAATGCAAGTGTATTGTGTAATGCCATGTTGTTTAAAGTTGGAATAGGTGTAATTGCTGTAAAGCGGGGAGAAAAAGAGTGACGTACGATAAATGATGATGACATCACAAAGCAAATATTTCACTGACGGAACAAAATTTATCAGTCATGCTTGACTTTGACTGCAATTATTCAACAACATACACTGGATAAACATGATAAATACTTTTAGTGCAGAAAAACTCTAAAAAGTACAGAAAAAAAGAAGGGGCAAATGGAAGAGCGGGTAAAAAGATTTCCGCATTAATAATGGTAAAAAGCTCAAAGTTTTTAATCAATTCTTTCTGAAAATTAATAAATCGCCATACATTTAACGAGAAACAAAAGAGTAGGAAAGAAGAACTTGGCTTTAATTTAGATTCATTTTTTATACTAAAATGTACATGTACATGCTGATATATATGTTTCTTATTTTTTCCTCAAATGTGCAGAATGACCGCCTTATGATTGGCCAGTATGTGACGATGTTCGGTGATGTCATTAGTCATGTAAATATATCTGCTGTCAAATCCGAAGATGGTGGTGATTACGAGTGTAAAGCAATTTCTCGCGCCGGTGAAGCATCACATACTGCTCGACTGAATATTTATGGTAAGATGTGTGCAAATCCCAGCCACTAGCCGTATGGGAAATGAAGGCATTTCCATTTTTCTTTCACTATGCTATATGTATTTAGTATAGCCGGCTATTAAATCAGATTAAGAAAAAAAAAAAAAAAAGAATAAATAAATTGTGGACCATATATATATCAGAAACTGTAAAGTAATTTTCTTGAATATTATTCTAAATGTCGTTTCCATTTCATACGGTTACTATACAAATGAAAAATGATACCTAAAAAGCAGAGCACGTTTATGAGTATAACAGACAAAAAAAATTCAAATAAAAAATGATGCGATATTTTTACAGTTTTTACATTCATTTTGTTTTCTTTTTTTTCGTTTCGTTCAGGAATGCCCTACGTACGTCCAATGCCCAAACTTTCTGCAGTAGCTGGAAAAATGTTCTTCCTCAAATGTCCTGTGGCAGGATATCCCATTGACAGCATCATTATTGAAAAAGGTATATTTTATTTAATCTAGATACAATGGAAAGGCGTACTGTATATGGGTTTGTGTATATGCGTTCACGCGCTCCTTGCATGTTTCATAAATCAATTTCATATCAATCTATTGACAATCCACAGACGGCGTTAGACTACCAACAAATATATGACAACGTGTTCAAAATGGTTCATTACTTATTGAGAATGTTCAGCGAACTGCCGATCAGGGCACTTACACATGCATCGCTCGCAATAAACACAATTATACATCACAACGTTCGGTTGAAGTTAAAGTCCTTGGTAAGTCCACCGCAAACAATTGCACGCTATTCATACTTTTACTATTTTTACATTTTATTTTCCGACAACAACATTTCCTTGTGCAACAATTTCCATCAACATCATCATAATAATTATTAGCGTTTCAGAGAAATGGAGAAATCAAATGCAATATACATATATGTGTATATATGCAGTATATATATATATATATATATTTTTTTTTTTTTTTTTGATAAATATTGCAAACACTGAGATATCTTTCTATCAAGCTTTTTTTTGTTCGCTTAAATGTATTTTCACATCAGCTAGTTTCTACGAATCGATTATATACAGACTATCTGTGTGTTTGCGAATATATGCACTTTCTCGCATATACACGATACACGATAAAGTGCTATATAAAGTCAAGCGAACCATGAGCGGAAATTGTTTTTGTTTCAGATTTTTAATAAATCGAAGAAGTAAGAGATACAAATATTGATAAGGTAGCTTGAATAGCGAAGTACAATGAAAAATTTGAAAGCCACCTTGCATTTTTCTGTCGCCACATAATTCAAGGGACAAGTGAACTTTATTTGCATTAGATTGAATTTTAGGTAACTGCACATTAGCGAGCACAACAATTCGTAAAGTCAACCAATTTGACCATTGGAATCGTTGTCGATTTACTTATGTAAAAATAAATTCACTTGATATTGTGTGGGTGAACGGTATTGTGAAACTCAATAAGCATTGCATTAATACTTGGACACTGTCCATTTATGCTTCTTTGTTTATGTCTTTATTTTCTAAATAAGTAAACATTGCATACAAACTTCACATAATTGAACCCAAAGGGTCTATGAGTTTGAGATTGGGAAGTTGCATTGATTCTAGATTCCAATCTATAAAGCCTAAGGTGGAAATTTAACTCAGTGTTTATGGATCTCGCAAATATTTGTACCATAGGTTCAACCGCTTTCTGCATTGTTATTGTTAAAAATTGTATTCAAAATTAAAGAGCTCAATGTGAGGCGTTGGGCACGTTGGACACGTGTCCATTGTACATCATGTATTACATATTTTATATGATCGTTACTTCAGCGATGCAATGCAAGTTATACGCATAGAAGCATGCATATAAACAATCAGATCATATTTTGACATTTGTCTGCATGCATTTGCTCGCATAGCATTATGTTCCTCGCTTATGTCTGTCTAATTTTAAGTTTTGTGGTTTCAAAGTTTGACCGGCAAAACGAGAAACCGAAAAGGGGAATAAACATGTACATCAGCGAAGGGGCAATTGAAACTAAATCGATACCAAATTTCAATTTGCTTGGCTGTCTTTTCTCGCTGTCAATTTCACTGCAGGTTTTTGGGTGATGCTAGTGGTAAGGGGGGTAAGGGGTAAGGCTACCTTATTAATTCTTTCTTACAATGTTTGGGTTGTTTTAAACAATCTTTCATACATTCCTTAATGATACCCAAAAGTTATTATGGATGGTAAAATCACTACTTAAAAGTATACTCGCGTTTCTTACGAAGCTTTGAATCGGTCGTATTATGAACGTACTGCAATTCTCAAAAGACTCACTTCAAATTTTCTTCATACACTTTTAATAGTGATCTCTAGATTTATTTGCTTGTTTTCTTTTAAACAGTTTCACAGTCAATTTGTGGTAAATCTCTTCAATACATAAAAGGCATTGTTTGGAAAGAATTTTCGTTAAGGCTAAAATTTTGAGAAAATCGTTCGTTTTTCCATAGCAGCATTCTTTTGAAAGCTGAGGTATTGACGGTAAAGCACTGAATTTTAAAGAGTGTGAAAACGGTACAGCTCTACAGATGTGGCGATAATCCGAGTTCAAAGATTACTTAGCAGAAGCGCAAAGTTTCAGCAAACATTCGAATTATTAGAACTGAAGTTTGGATAAGACCCACGCTCTTAGGCTATACATTATAAAGTCCTTGTTTTATGCTTTAGGCATAGATTATTTTTTATTTTATTTTATCGGGCTCCTCGAAGCCATTAAAGTTTATTGGAACTGTTCACAATGTCCCCTGTAGGTGAAAAAATAAAGTACAATAATATAAAATTAAAATCATAGACAAATTACGATAAAGAAAAAAAATTAAAAAAAAAAAATTAAAGGCAGAGATGAAAGGAAACCAGTCTAATAGGAAAGAAAATAAAACGTAAGATATCTGCACTTTCGTCCCAGTACTAAATAACTAAATAAATTTAATGCTTACATTTGTAGGTTAAGTAGGAACAGTTAACCTAAAAACGTAAAAAACGCAAAAGATAATCTGACCTATAGTCATAGTTCCTTAAGAAGAACGTATGCCTTATTACACGATTGCACAACAGTCTCAATTTCTTTAGTGTTTGATGTACTCGTTGAAGTATAGACCTTTAAAGCATAATTTAAGATTAAAGATTAATCATTACGGACTGACACATGTAATAATGTTAAAAGGGTACCATTATTTTACTAATGGCTTTCCATATATGACAAGTTCAAGTGCGAACAGCTTTTGCTAATTAGTTACTGAAACGGATTGCGAGACATACGCAGAGAATTCAAGGTATTTTTGTCCCGTTTCTTCCTAATTAAAGTACAATTCATTTAACAGAGTAATTACGTTGCCACTATTTAATTGAATTTTCTCTAAAATTTTTACAAAATTAATTAGGATAAATTTATTTGTAATTGCGAGCTAATACATTGGTATTTTAGTGTAAGTGAACTCACGTGTTTGCAATATTTGTAACATATGTCTGCTTTGATATGTATGTATGCATTTTAAAATTCATTTCTATTCACATTCAATTCCAAAGCTCAATTTTATTTTCAAAAATGGTGATTAAAAATTTTTGATTAAAAATAAACAGAACAAAAAAAAAAATAAATAAATAAAATAAGCTATACATACGTACATATATGCATGATGATGCATAATAAAAATGATGTCCATGTATATGCGTATGTATGTATGACATGTTGATGCTTGTACATCGATGTGCTGTGTGACATTTTAATAAATTTTTTAAGTAATTTTTTTTTTATTTGTCTGTTTTTGGTGTATAAAACACACACACATGCGCATACATAACATACAACACCATATTGGCATTTGTTTCACCCTTTTCTAGTTTTGTTAACTGAAAAACCAAAAGCAGTAACAAATTGTTTTTCTACCAAATAAAATCGAAAACACATATACATGTATATAGCTGTGTATGTAATGCTTCAAATTGAATTTCTGCTATATATGAGAACACAAACATGTGTGTGTGTTCTAAATACACGCAGGTACATAAAAAGAGATGTGTGTTGTGTTTTTTGTTTTGTTTTCTTTCAACAAAAATTTAATTTGTTCAACACAATAATAATAAATAAACAAACATACACATAAACGTGCAAATACACAGCCAAATATTTTCATAGCAATGAAAGGTATAATAGAGAGAAGAGTTGTTTGTACATTTGTACTCCCAAAATTCCCAACAGCGCTTGCTACACACCATGCGCGCATATATTCGGGTTTTCGACTTTAAATTCCATTTGCAAATTCTGTACGCAGTCGAAAATTAAGCTGAAGAAAAGCCCAACAAGTTCAAAGCAAAGTAGCTAAATATGATCTTTAGGATTATTATAAGGCTTGTGCCAATTAAGAGACTTAAATAATATCAGATAGAAGGTATACGTTCTCCGAGCAGTTTATCGCATACGTGATTGCCGTTTTAGTAAACTTAAATTCCAACAGTTCCTATTGCAGATAATGGGAAAAAGTTGATTTACATCAAGGAATTCAATTTTAAAATATTTAGATAGGAAGCTCTATAACGTATGAAGTGTCCTACATCTGGAACATATTGAAAGCAGTCCGCCAGTCCGACCGAAAAAGTTCACAGACAACTTTCTTTCAAAAACCAATTTTTGAAGCCTTATACATACCAAACAATTACTTTAGCTTGCTTACCAAAAGCAGTAAACCAGCCCAGCAAACAAAATCAAACTTGTATTGGCGAACCGAGAGGAACTGTTTCTTAAAAATCTCCAATCAGTCCATTTATTTGAATTAAGAGACTCGAATATGTTCTTATAAAGAGATTGAAAGCGTAAAAAGTCGAAAGTTTTAACAAATGAGTAGACAAGTAACCATGCGGTCTCTTCTTTCTTTGAAGAGCCCATGCATTAGGTCCTAATGACTGAAAACGTGAGCTGAAGTGATTCAAGACGATTGCGCCTACACAAATCAGTCAGAGTTGGACCTAGAAATGACAAGATCGTCAGCATAGTCCAGGATTGAGATGTTTTCAGGAAGAGAACTGAAAATTTTGTTAATATAAGAATTAAAGCAAACTAAAAGATCGCCTTTCTACAACAACATTATCATTGTTAATTAACGCGTTGTTATAGAGAAAGAGGTTATATAACAAATTACAGAATTTAGTGCTCAGATTGAAAGAGAGTACGATAGATTTTAAGATGTTGATATTGACAAAATCAAATGCTGAGGTTATGTTCAAAAAACCGGCAATGAGAATGTGGTTCTTAGCAAACACTGCATTTATTGCTGACCACAAAGTTGACAATATTGTCTTGGGCATATCTGCAACGTCTAAAATCAAATTGAAGATTTCCGGGGATATATTTTGACTTGAGATACCATTCTAGACATGAGTATAACGCTCTCCCGAAAATTTTTCCAAGGGTGGAAAGAAAGGCAATAAATCTGTACGAATTAAGATTAACTTTCTTCTGAATGTGAAGGTTTGGAAGTCGTATTAGGAAGAGGACATGCAGTCTGTAATTAGAATATTGGTAAGTTGTTTTAGTAAGATTAATATGCTTTCAATATTCAAGGTTTTGAGGTGATTCATACAAATACTATCTAAGCCAGGAGCTGAGTCTTTTGAGAGATTAATGGCCTTATCGAGCTCAGAGAGAGATATGTCACTTAAAAAAAAATCACGTTCCTCATCGAATGAAACAGAGGGCTTTATAGGACGAGCAGGCTTCACACAG